TGTAGGAAAGAGGGATATGAAATATGAGAGGTATTAATATTTTGGATATTATGACCAGGAAAGAGCAGATTGGGAAGAATTTTGCAAAAAAAAAACCCTGAAGTAAGGAGGCGAGCCATGCAGCATTCTGGGGAAATAGCATTCCAGGCCCAGAGAACAGTGAGGGGACCAATTGGAGAGTGGGGCAGATGGGATTGGGTCATAGAACTATTGCTACAAGGAAGCTTCAAAAAGTACATGAAAAAATACCATTATTTTAATTTTATTTACTCTATATATAATATAAGGAGCTCTGGTAGCGTAGTGGTTACGAATTGGGCTGCAAATTGCAAGGTCAGCAGTTCGAAACTACCAGCTGCTCCGCGGGAGACAGAGGAAGCTTTCTGCTCCCGTAAAGATTTACAGCCTCGGAAACCCTGTACAGGGTCGCTATGGGTTGGAACCGACTCGACGGCACTTAACAACAACATATATATAATATATGCGTATTATATTTAATTAAAATTTTTTTAACTCTGCCATTGTTACCAAAACCAAAAAACCCCCAAACAAACCAACCTGCTGTTGATGGATTCTGAATCATAGCGACCCTCTGTAGTTTTCGAGACTATCAGTCTTTACAGGAGCAGACAGTCTCATCTGTCTCCTGTGGAACAAATGGGTTTGAACAGCTCACCTTTCAGCAGAAGCCCAGTGCCTACCCCATAGCACCACCAGCATGTATAGCAATTAGCCAAAGCATGTGGGAACACACGATCTCATTTTTTCTACTTGTCATTTAATTTCACGCTTAAAAAATGTTATCATTGCTTCTTGGGCTGCAGATCTTTACCACTATGTTAATAAATATGATTATCTATCCAGGTGTCTACTGTTTACGTATTATTACTCTTTTTCTTGCAAAGTTTATTGCAAAGTGTGAAACTTGTTTTGCAAAAAGTTTTGATTTTCAAAATTCTTAATTTTTACCATTGAAACACCATTTTAATGAAAAATTTTCATGTGCGTATTAAAAAAGTAAAATATATCTTTAAAAAATCTAACTTTGAAAAGTTGTAGCTTCATTAGATTTTCTCAGAGACTTTAATCTGCTCTCTTCAAATCTCAATCTGATGTATCAAAAAGTTCTAACTTTTCAATTTATTTAAATATCCCCTGACATTTCAAACCAAAAGTCATTTATTTGGCTTCTATGAAATGACCAGTTGTTAAATTATGTCGAATCAGTTCCGACTCATAGAAACTCAATATAGGGTTTCCGAGAAACGGCTGGTGGGTTTGAACCGCCAACCTTCAAGTTTTTATCCTACAGCACCATTTAAGGAGTCTAAGCAAATAAACTCAACTGGGGGTATAAGAGGTGGTAGCTTTACAGTAAAAGATTTGTAGTGTTGGAAACCCTCTGGGACAAATCTACAGTGTCCTATGGGGTTACTGTAAGTTGACATCTACCAAACAGCAGTGGGTTGGGGTTGGTTTTGCTTTGGAATGTCAGAGGATATTTAAGGTAATTGGAGAGTTAGAATTTTCTGTTAGGTCAGAATGGAGATTAGAAGTCAAAAGACTTTGCTATTCAGTTCCCTCATTGAATAGCTGTGTAGGGCTTTCTGAACTTCGGTTTCCTTGTTTATACGTGGGGATACGACTTCAGAGGCTCATTGTTTTGAGAATGAAGTTAAATCATGTAAGTGGTCTCAAAAATACTGTTTTATGCCATTAAATGTACGTTCTTTTTAGGTCAGTTATGCTTACCTCTTTCCTGGTTTGTTAAATTACAATATTCATTAGCTTTGTTGTTTCTGGATAATTTACACAGTTTGTAATTTTTTTGACTGAAGGTTCCCTTCATAGCTCTTTTGTGAAACTAACTGCTCCGGCAATGTCCATGGATGAGGATTGGCTCAGTTGCAGTCTCCTCCAACATGTACCTACAATTTGAATCAGCTGTCAGCAATTGGGAGTAGGCTTGGTTGGAACTTTGTACCTCCTAATCCTTAACTAAGGAGCATGCAGAAGTAACAGTGCTCTACTACTACCTTACAGACCTGGCTCTGGTGTATGTAGAAAACCGAAATTTCATTTAGAGAAACTTTGGTCAAAAGTTTGTGAAGCACTAGGTTAAGGTGAGATTGTTACAGCAATACAGTGGCCCTCCAGCCCAGGACACCATGGATCTCTCAGGAGAGGACCTTCCAGAAACACAGACTGCTGGTGGGTATGGAGTGTCCAGGGCACCGCTAAAAACTTCTGCTGGAAGTTTTAAGAATTTACATTTTTAAAGAATCAGAACGTAACGGATCCCGAACTTTGCAATATATTAGTCACCTGGGAGTGTTTTAAATCCACAGGCCCAGGTCATGCCTCATACTAATTACATCAGAATTTAGCGGGGCCGGGGCTAGGCATTAATGCTTTTTAAAGACCATCAGGTGATGTAGATAGCAATAAAGTTTGGGAAACATGGCTCAGGCCTCCGTTCCCTGACCACGTGTTGTTTCAGTTGCCAACAACAGCAGCATTGTTTCACAGCCTTCAGCACCCTTAGCAGTAGTTTGATAAAACTATCACTAAAAACACCTGAAAACAGTCTGTAATGTCCAAGGCTTTGAACCTGTTCATACCAATTCCACCTCTTGCTGAGAATTTGCTGTTCCAACCCAGATACACTGGATCAGAATCTACATTTTAACTAGCGTCCTAGGTATTTCATAGGAAAATGCAAATTCTCAGCTGGGGTCACATCAGAATGAAGCAGTTGGGAGTCCTAATTATTTCCCTTCAGCAGATTTGTGGTTTATGTTTTTTTAAAAGTGTATGTACTTCTTCACATTCTTGTGTTGTTTTGAACATTGTCATTACTGGCCCATTCTAGAAATATTCGTGTTTTTTTCCCCAGTTACCACAGCTGTAGCTTTAAGTAACATCATGCTTTTGTGACATAAGATAGTGAATAAAATCAGGTCTAAGTATTAACCAGTTAAAGGAGTTTCATTCCTTTGTTTCAGTTATATAAGATTGACAGCCAGTTTGTTTTTGTTTCTGTTTTTTACAAATTTACTTAGTATAGGTATTTTATAAAATCCATTCTAATTTTTCTCCAATGTTGTAATAAACTGTTACAAGCTGGCTTACAGTTATGGAATTTTATTAATTATATGTTGGTGGTGGTGGTGGTTAAGTGCCATAGAGTTGGTTCCAACTCATAGTGACCCTCTATAGGGTTTATGAGGAGCAGCTGGTAAGTTTGAACCGCTGACCTTACAGTTCAAATTGACCTCGTGGCCCAGTGCTTATCCTACAGCAAAACACACATTATTTTTTAATACATGAAATGATTCATGTGTGAAATAAAAACTATTCCTGTGGCATTACTAACCATGATAACACAAATGAATAAGCATTAACAATATGTATCATGGTTAATTAAGTCAGTCTCAGTGTAATCTAATAACAAGTATAATTTTTTTAGGTGTACAAAGGGGGTTCCTAAGTGACGTGGCTCCTAATATTGACAAGAGCTAGAGTTTTTGGTTGTACATCCTTGAGCCATTCTCCTTAGACTTGATATAAATTCAAGTGATCACAATGTTATCTTTAAAACAATAGAAATTCTGTCTTGATTCATTTAAAAAAAATTTATTTGTTTCATGCTCCATGTCAAATACATACGTGAAAACATGCAGAACATTAAGTGATGCTCTGTGAATTTTTTTGTTTGCCATTTAAAATTAAAGAACATAACCCTGTTGTCTCCATCGCTGTCAGAGTAATGTAAATTTTGGAAAGTTTTACAGTGCAAATAGTTGGCTTAATTCATAACATTCAGTCGTCCAATTTTATTTTGAGTCTTCTGTTTTTCCTGTTTTGCATTTTTGTTTTGTTTTGTTTTCAGCCATCATTTTGTCTTATCATCTTCAATTCTAGAGCAACCCGACAACAATAATGATACTCCTGAATTGGGCAACCTTGTCATTCCTGAGATTAGTGTCACAAGTGTGACCGGAGAGAGAGCCGGGAATGGGGAGGAAGGCAGAGCTCTAGGAGAGATTGATGCTCAGCGTATACAGGGTGTGCAGGAAACAGCCACAGATCCTAGAAGTGAGAGCAAAAGCTTACCAGAGATCAGGAGGCAAAGATCTGTAAGAAAAGTCATGGAGGATGGAATAAACCCACCTGGCCGAGTGCAGTTTTAGCAGAGCTCTTTGTAGCTGCACTCCAAGGTACCTCGTGGCAAAGGGCCGCTGGCTGCATGTTTCCACAACAGTTGCATAGTCACAAAGACCTTGCATGTCACCTAACAATCAAAATGCATGAATTACGCACCACAACTTCTCTGTGACTCGTGACTCGTAATGCTCTTTCGAATGATCATGCCTATTACTGATTCTGAATAAATTTTGAGTGTTTTCCTGCTTCTGTGTTGAGATGTAAAATGATTTTTTTTCATCTTTGATAAAAAATGATGATAATATATATGTAGAATTTTCACAAGTGAAAGCCTAGGTATTTATAGTGTAGATTATTTTTTTTAATTTAGTAAAATAATCAAATGTAGAAAGTAAACTTATTTTTTTCAGCTTTTAAAATATTCTAATACCTCTTTTTTTTAAAAAGTCCCTTGGTAAGGGCTTTGATTTTCTGTGACTTTGCTCCTGAGGGAGAGTCTAGTCCTCGTTTACTATGTGATTTTTTTTACCCCCTAATCATTTCTGATCTATTGCATGAATAATAGGATCATTTTCTCTAAAAGGACAATGCAGTGTGATTTATGGCATGCTTTTTATTGAATACACTCTAAATTACTGTCATTTAATTACAGTGGACTTTTTAAAGATTTTATATAACTTTTGATTTATCCTTTGATTTTTATTCTACTGTAATCTATTCCTTATGAAATTATGATAAAGTTTAATTTACTTAAAGTACAATTGATTTGATGTTAGTCGTTAAGGAATCATTGTTTACAATACTTAATTAATCTTTGTTATTTCTTTGTTTAGGAAATGCAGATTTAACAGGTCAAGAAGAACTGATGGACATATCTGAAGTTGACGAGGGATTTTATTCCCGGGCTGCGTCTAGTACCAGCCAGTCGGGTTTATCAAACAGTAGTCAAAATTCTAGTAACAAAACAAGTGTAGGAAAGAACCAGAGGCGGTCAGGAGGAAGCAAGAGTGGAGGCAAAGAAAAAGAGACTGCAGGGGAATCTTGCAAAGATCACTTTGCTCGAAAACAAACTCAGAGAGCCCAAAGTGAGAATCTGGAGCTTCTCTCTTTGAAGAGACTTACTTTAACAACCAGTCAATCCCTGCCCAAGCCTAGCAGCCATGGTTTGGCCAAGACCGCCACTACTGTGTTTAGTAAATCCTTTGAACAAGTCAGTGGTACCATAGCCCCACATAACCCATCACCTGCTGTTGGTTGTGGGGCTGGGACAGATGCCAATAGGTTTTCTGCCTGTAGTCTCCAAGAAGAAAAACTTATTTACATTTCTGAAAGAACTGAACTTCCGATGAAGCATCCGTCAAGCCAGCAGAGACCACCTAGTATTAGCATTACTCTGTCAACAGATTAATATCACTAATCCAGGAATCTGGAAATACCGCTTTGCTTCTGTATGAAAGTGCCCTAGGTCTTTCACCCCTGTTCCTGAGAGGAACTCTGATGTCTTAAATTCTGAAGGCTACCTTGAATTTATGATGGGAATAATGTCTAGTTTGCAGTATGTTGGTACAGCGTTTTGTTATTTCTTGGTTATATTTTTTCCCTTGATCGGAGTCTTTTTTTCTAATTATTTTATGTTGCCCTGAGATTGCCAGTATGCCAATAAATTTGGCAAATTGTCCGATCAGGCTGGCTGCATTGTATGCAAGGCTATGAGATTTGTTTTTGTTTCATTTTAAAAGCTCCTGTTTTGATCATCGTATGTTTGGCCTTCAGAGTGAAAGGGAACCTCCATGTTTGGGACCTGTTTTATGAAGGATGAGGCAGCTGTGGAACTCGTTAGCAAGCCCATCTGCAAAACAAGCATCTGAACATCAACAACGACGTGTATGAAAGCACTCAATAAAAATGTTTGTTAGGAGAATCATCTTTAAGATCAGAACAGTCTATTCAAAGCACTGAAAAGTGGAATCTCATGTAATTTGAGGAGATGGCTGTTATCTGAATCCAGGAGGCAGAGGGGGGATTTCTGTTATTATCTGTGGGATTCTTTTATATATATCAACAGTCAGGTTGTTGGTAGGTGTGTTATTTTGAAGTGTTTCACCTGGATTTATAAGATGAAATCCCTTATAATTTCTAAGGCCATAAAATGGATTTATCCTGCTTCTCAGCTTTGTGAATCCTAGCCACTTTGGATTCGTATCATTCAGAGCTCATGCCACTGAAGACTTCTTGGGAGTCATTGTAAATGCTGCAACACATCTCTCAAGACACCAATACCAAGTGTCGAAGATTGAACTGTTTGCCTGCAAATGAAAGATATTAGGTACTTTTTCATCTGTGAATGGTGCTGAAAGAAGCTTAAGAACAGTGAAATATGGACAAAGGACATTTATATATAAACTAATTTACGGTTATTTGTGGTCTTAAATTTATAGTGACAAAGCATGAGAAACAGAACTGTGTTTCTTATTCTGGAGTAGGCCTGCTTTAAACGTTCTTATTATGATACTGAAGGAATAGTCAATTTAGTTACCTTCCCCTAACTGAAAAGTACAAACAAGTTTGTATGGAACGCTAGAGATTATGTGACCTCTAGATTGCCGTAAAATTTTGATGCTTGTTGGTGGTGATCATTTCAGCTATGGTTGAGGTCCTCTGTAAATCAAGGTTGCTTAAGAAGTAATTTGGAGTCAGTGAGAGAAAGCACTCACTGGTGAGGATGAGAGTTACATTTGCTGGAGAGGAAGGCCTAGGGAGCTGCTCTCTTCTTTCTTGGGCTCTCTTCTGCTAGTACACTGTGGTATGCTTAGCCACAGCCTCTAGCTGTGTTTCCTTTTACTGCCTGCATATGACAAGCTTGGATAAATGAAAAAAACAAAAGAGAGAGATCTTGAAGGATTTACATGGTGGGTGCAGTTTTAAGCATGGCTGCTTTGTCCACAAGTTAAATCTAATTATTTAAAAGGCATGAACTAGTTTTCCTGCTTTAGTCCTAAATGCAGTGTGACTTTTGGCATATGTAAACTTGATGTTTTCAGTTCTAGTAATCAAATGATCTACATTGTAGCCAAAACATATAAGGCAACCAGAAAGTAAAAGTTGATACTATATTAATTTAGTAGAAATCCTGTGTATAATTTTAAATATTTGTAAAATGTCACTGTGAATTTCCTGTTGTCTTTTTGTAACTCTTTAACAAAAAATTTTCTCTAGGCAGAGTTACCATACATATTGATAGCATCAAGAACTAATTTAAAAGATTGGCATTTCAAGCGAGTTGAGTTGCTTAGGAAATGTTTTAGAGTAAGTTTGAGTAACTTAGATGGCACAAAGGAGAGCTCAGACAGTGCTCAGCCACTGTAATGGAATCTCATTTTGGTATTATTCTAGACCCTTGCTACTCAGGGTGGTCCCAGGAGCTGTAAGTAGCATTGGCATCACCTGGGAGCTTGTTACAAATGTAGGATTTCTGCTCCACCCAGACCTATGGGCTCATAATCTGCATTTTAACAAGATCCCCAGGTGGTTTTTATGCACATTAGAATTTAAGAAGTGCTGGTACAGAGACAATCAGTACAAATCACTTGTCCAGTATTTAGAATTCTTGGTCGTCTCACAACCCTAGAACATGGAACTATATTAGTAAGGTACTAGATCATTATAATCTTCATTGTTTTTACAACTAACTAACTTTTAATAACATTGACACATGACTTCTTAAGTCCTCTAATTCTGAATTTGTAATGATTCTCATTTATTTTTGCAATAAAAATGTAACATTTTGTATTTTTCTTGTTATCCATAAATGGAGTCAGATCTATAGCTGCCTGCAATTTCAAGAATGAAAGGGGTTACCACCCTTTTATACAGCACATTACCAATTTGCATGTGTATGTATAGAGTTTTCAATCTTAGAAGGCTTACTCAGTGGAGTAATTTTGAATTTTTGCTCCAAGTAACTTGCACCAGTTGATTTTCTTGAATGTGAAGTGATGTTAATGATGAAATTATTTTATAGAAACTTTGATACTATTTCAAATAAGGATTATAAGTTTGAAATTTAATAGTAATTATAACTACTGGATAGTATCAACTCGGGTAACAAACTGTTGTTACTCCTACTGCTCTTTCCTCACTCACCTTCCTAAATCTGAAAATTTGGCAGGGCTGCCATGGCTCACTTTCCTATGAAATTTGGCCACAAACCTTCTACGCATCCAGTATTTCTTTTATCAGGAGAGGACGCCACACAAATGACCGTCTTAGACCCTGTTGCTCAGAGTAGAGGTTTAGCTCCATTCCACATTTTAAACGGCTATGTACTGTGGAAATGGCCCATCCTCTCACTCTGGAACATGGGACTGCCTGGAATGTTCTATTTGGAATCCAGGTGGGGAGAAAAAAAAATCAGACTTTTCAAGGGAGTTTTTCCAGAGTATGCAGAGCAAGGGTCTCCCCTTTTCTTCCCGAAGCCATAGGAAAGCGCCCTAGAACTTTTCAAGGCAGCTCTGTCGTCTTGAAGAAAATCTCAGTCCTTAATCATAACTGATGATTGCTTTGGAGAAGCAATATTTTATTGCCCTTTTCATTTATGAAGCAACTGCTCATCAAGTATTACTTGTTTTTTAAAAAATTGAATTAAAGAGAAATCTATTGTTTAAGCCAAAATAGATTTAAATATCCCTAGTTGTAAGGGATTTTGCCTGTTTTGAAAGAAAGTAAATTTAAAATGTTGAAAAAACTGCTAGATTTAAATTATAGAGAAAAATGTACCGGGACATCATTTTAAACTAATATATTAAATGAAGCAGTTTAGCATTCGAGTAAGTCTAAACTTTATTAAAGGACAGCATATCAAAGAAAATACTTGTTAAATAATATAGCTAAAAAAAAAAGAAGTTAAAAATATTCAATGAGAAAAATAATTTGGAGGTTACTTACATTAAAATTATGCATAACAATGTATAATAGGGTCTTCCCAGTCCTTGGATAATACACAGCAATTCTCTAGCCCTTTGCTTAGCATGAATTAGATACTTTAGATTTGTTCAGTAAAAATTATGCTCAGTACTTTGAGTTATTCACGTTTGTATTTAATACTGGTAAATTTTTTATTAAAGAGCATAAATATGTTGTCTTTTATGCTTTGCAACTTGTGCATGTCTAAAGAGGCTAATATTGAACATTCTGGAAGATGTTTGTGCTTTTGTAGTAGAGTTCTAGGGTACCTGTGTATTGTTAGGAAGTTTTCACTGCTTAAGATCCGATTTACATACTGTTGCTTTCTTTTATATGGAATTTATTGTGTACTTCTCATCTTCCCCTCCTAAACATAGAGTAATACTAATCTTTTCGTAATAGATATACTTGTTTATAATTGTATTCCTTAACGATGACTTTGGATATTTTTATGTGTTCCCTACAATTTTAAGGCTATGGAAATAAACTGGAGTTTGTGTTTTGAAGTTTTGTGTATTCGTGTAAATGTTCCCACACTGTAATGCTTTTGATGGCTAAGTGTTGCCTCTTGTTTTATTGAAATAAAAGCTAAAAAGGTATTTTCCAGATTATTTTACTCCTTAAAAATTGTTACTAAAAAGTTTTGAAAGTCATGGTCTAGAGGAAGAAAGTATAGGAGAAAGACTTAGATGAATTGAGCCGCTGAAAGCTTTTAAAGAGTAAGCCACATACAGTGAGTGGCATCTCGGCCTTGGCTTCATGCTTTAAATGGTCTAGGTCTAGGAAGGAGGAGTGTGACACGTTCATTCGCTCTCCATTCAAAAGAGATGAACTGCATTGGCTAACTAGTCACCAAACCAGAAGCTCAGGCAAATTGAGATGACAGGGCTTTAACCTCCTAACTCCAATATGAGTCTATATCTCCTCAAAGCAGAGATTATAATGCCCTAGTACCTGACTTAGAACTTTGTACATGGTAGGTATGTAGACAGCTAATGAATGAGTGAGTCAGATGAATGTTAGCGCTGGAGAGGAATCACAGATAATCTCTCCAATGTACTTTGTATAATACGATTCACTCCCTGAATTGTATTACTGTGTGTGCTTTGAATCAAGGTTCTTTTATAAACTTGAAAAATAAATATTGGCATGTAGTTGATAGTATTCGTGTGTAACTCCATTTCCTCTTAGGAACAAAGTATTTTAGGAAGTGTTTTCTGAACTGTTAGAGGAGTACTGGTAGAGAAGCAGAGCTGTGGTTTTGTAAGCAGCATATTAGCCCCATGAAATATACACTCTTCTAATGGAATATTGATACGGTGCTGTGGGTTAATGCCCTGAACTGCAAGATCGGTTTGAGTTGAGAGATCAGCGGTTCAAGCTCACCAGTTGCTCCTTGGAAACCCTATACAGGGTCGCTATGGGTTGGATCCTACTCAACAGCCCTTAACAACAACAGCAAAGTGGGGTTAGTGGAGTTCTGGTATGGTGCTGTAGAATAAGCATTGGACTGCTAATCACAGGACCAGCAATTAATGTACCAGCTGATCCTTGGAAGCCTGGTACAGGATTGACATGAGTCCTAACAGACTCAATGGCACTTGAACAACATGTAGCTTTAGCAATCCCAGTGCATAGTTGACTCACTTAGTAGCTTCTGATTTTGGCAATACCAACGTAATTACTGAGAAAGATATTTACAAACAATTCTAGTCTTTTGA